CGCCCCCGCGCACGTTACTCGGCCCCTGCGCGCGAAGGCGGCCGCGAGTCTGCGCATGCGCCGCCGCCGCACCGGGCCGGGCAGCCGCCGCCCCCCCCGCCCCTCGCACCAACGCCGCCCGCGCAGCTTCCGCCGTACGCGGAGGGAGCGGTGACGGGCGGCCCGGCCTCGCTGCACGCACCAATCAGCGCCCGGAGCGGCGCCACGTGAGGACGCAGCAGCCAATCCTCGACCCAGGGTCGGACCGGCGCGTTCGATTGGTAGGAAGGATGCTGGTGGCGTGGGCGGATGGAGGGCGGAACCATTAGTGGGGAGAGACGAGAGGGAGAAGAGCAGCCGCTTTCAGAAGCCAGGCCGAGGACAGGAAGAGATGGGAATAGAAGCAGAACGCGGGGACTCCACGCTGTGCTGCCCCGACCCGGCATTGAGGCCTGCCTGCTGTAGCAGAGCTCTCCCCGCGCTTGCATTGGATTAGTCCAAGAGCCGGCATGGGAAGCAGAGGGCGGGCTGCCCCAGTGTCCTCAGTTATTGGTCAGGGCAGCTGTCGCTCAGCGCTGATTGTCCAATGAGTGAACACTAACGCCCAAGGAGGCGGTGCGGCGCGGGACGCCATGTTGTGGCGTGTGTGGCGGCCGCGGCCCGGGGGTCCCGGCGCGGGTGGGGGGCGGCGCTGGGGCCGCGTGCGGGGGCGCTCCGGGGGCTCCGCTCCGGGGGCTCCGCTCCGGGGGCTCCGCGGTTGCGGCTCCGCTCTGGAGGCTCCGCTCCGGGGGCTCCGCTCCGGGGGCTCCGCGCCGCCCGGCGCTCTCTGCTCAGCCCTCAGGTGCCCCGGGGGCCTCCCTCATCCTCGTAACGGTGACAGTGGCTCAGAGCCGGGCCTGTCCCCACGGCTGCCGCGCCGAGACCCCGGGCTGCGCTTTCCCTGCACCAGTGTTCCCAGCTCCGAGCCTTTCCCACGTGGTGGACGTGCCCTTTCTGCGGGCGCGGCCTGAGGAGCCCGTTCGGCTGCCCCAGGGCTGCTGCCTTGCGGTCGTGGTCGGGGCGGCTCTGTCCCGGTGCCCGCAGGGGAGCGGCGCTGACTGCGGCAGGGGCGGTAGGAAGGACAGGGCTCCTCCGGGAGCCGCCGCTTCGCTGCCTTCCTCCTCCACGAGGGGGAAGCCAAGAGCCACGCGTGAGCCCAGGCTGCGTTTACCTCTCGTGGCTGATGCACGGGCTGCATTGAAGCGACGTGTGCGGAGCAAAGGCTTCCCCTCTGTTAATTTCTGCTTTTAATACAGACATAAGATGAGGAGGTGCAAACACCTCCCCCTTAAAGGCTCTTGGGTAGTGTAAGTAGTGATTCCATGCTGTGATCTTTTTTTTCTTCAAAATAAATGCTACCTCCAATAGTAGGTTTCTCCCTACAGGGTATTCAGATTTCCTAGTATCTTTCTCACTTCTTAGGGAAAAAAAAAGCATTTGACTGGAACACTTTCAGTGGATCACAGTTACATTGGGTAGAAAAGGGGAAAAAGAAGGAACAAGTAAAGCAAAAGAATCAAGATTTCATTTATTGTAAAGCCATTTTTTTTTCTTTTATTATCCAGTTGCTAAGCTGAAAAATCATTATTTGCACTGATGAGGGCTTCTGTACTCCCATTATTCTATCACATCTTAAATTATCATTCCCTACTGTAGAAATCATTTCTCCTTGCAAGGTACACAAGTTTTCTTACTTCTGCAGAATCTTTCTGATTCTGCCACTGAACCCCAAAAGCTGCCTGTTTATTGGTCAAATTAACCCTCTTCTTAAGTGTGTTTAAAATCTTAATAGTGATTCTTGATTGCTGGATTCAAGGATTATTCTCCTGCCAAAAAAGGTCCAAGGTCCTAAGAGCACTAGAGACACCCCCATCAAAACACTGGCTGGTGTTGGTAATATTCCAGTTCATGGTAGCTCATACAAGCTCTCTGGTCACATTTGGTGCCTATATTTCTCTTTATTTTCCAGTTTGGGGAATATAGATACAATGCACACATTTCTAGCACTGCACAAATTTCATTTTCCGTACTAGATCATAAACACCCCAAAACAGGTCACAGAAACGACTTGTGAAAGCAACATACAGACTGTTGCAAAGAGATCAATCCTTTCACACAGTGACTTCAAGCTACATCAATGCCGTTGTACTCTCCTCCAGAATATTGTTATTTTTGAACTATTACACCTTGAGACATGACAGAACAAAATTACAAAAGCATTAGCCAATGCCATGATCCAGTAAACCATAGTGCCGTGGCAGGCACGTGATGCCACTTTCTGACCTCAGGAAGTTCACAGGCCCACAGTGAAGGCATGGGACTTTTCTCAAATTTGCACTTAGGGACAGCAAACTTCTCTGAGTATCTCCATGTACAGAGGCCCTTTTGCAGTCACTACTTGGAGGCGGTTTGTGCAATGCAAGCAGCTGTGTGATCACCAGCAAAGGCGCTTTCAGTCTGTGCCCTGTCACTGACCCACAAAAGCAACCTCCAAGCTCTGCACGGGGCTCACACACACGGAGTTCTATACACACAATAGGATACAGCAGCTTTCACTTGTATCCCACATTTGTATACAGCAGTCTTAATTTTACACATTTTGAAAGTTACAGTCTAAAAGTAGCAAAAAATGTCCCTCCTTGCTGTAGTCTCATGTCCCCAAAACATCCTGCTGGATATCCTCTATCTTGGATGAAATACTAAAATTATTGAAAAAGTTTCAGGCTGCAACTTCCCCATGGTACATGTGCATTGCCCCAGGGGGCTTTAAAATCTGCTCCTCACTTTCCAGGATGCTTGTGGCAGTGAGGCCAAAAGGCTTTGAACTTCCTTTGGTTTCCCCTCCTTGGGCTGAGGTCCCCTGTCTGTCTCCTCTCTCCCTTCCGTGCCACTAAGACACAGCAACACTGTTGTCAAGAGTGTCCTAACTGACAAACTGATACATTCCAATAGCCGGGCTCCCTGACATGAAAAAATACCAATTTTGCTGAATTCCAAGTTGCAGTGACAGAGAGATGTCTTTCAACACATGCTTGCTCAAGCAGCTCTCCTGAAGGGATGATGTACAAGACAGCATATACAAATACATATGTATATCTCTATATCCTTACACTTTCCCACTGCACATCTTTCATGGCTCCTTCTGTTGTAACGTGCTAGTTCCTCTGGGTACTGTAGTGTGCTGTCTGACAATCAAATCAGTCATTTTAGCCCCTTGCAATAACCAAAAGCCCTTCAAAAATCCTGCTTTATGGTAGGCTGACTGAAACCCAAAAGAGTTGGTTTGATTTTTTTTTTTTTTTTTTTTTTTTTTTTTTTTTTTTTTTTTTTTTTTTTTTTTTTTTTTTTTTTTTTTTTTTTGTAGATAGGTTTTTATTATTTAGCTAATTAGTTCTCTACGGAAGAACCATCTTGCTATAAAACCTCGGCACATGAAGACTAACCTCCAAGAAGAAGCCCCTGAAGTGCTAGTCTATGATAAAATGCTAAATAAAAAAAAAAAGGTGTTAGAATTGACAGTTCATCAGTGCTTTTGGTTGAGAGCAGTAGTTTTTACTACCACTTACATTTTGGCTCCAAATATTTTGATCTGTCTGAGATAAGGGCTGTTTCAAGTTTTACATGCAGATTATGCCTCCAGCCAAGCCTGTGACAGACACCTCATTTCCTTCATCCTGCAAAACATTCTCCATCAAACAGTTGATCAGAGAGTGGCAGAGGGCAGGTCCAAACCTACAGAGATAAAAAACTGCAAGATACTGTGAAAAAGCTGCAGGATCCTCAGGTCTTGTGACTCTAGAAACAAAGAACAAGGCATGGCAAGGTACTGAACAGAGCAGTACTCTTGTATTCCCTGCTGTTGTTGAAGTAAAATTCTGTCTGCAATAAAATAATTTATAACAATAAAAAAAATTCTGTGGAAATAATGTTTACAACACTATACAGTTCAACATAATTTACACACTAACACTAGGTGCACTTACAATATTTATTCAGAATTTTGTTAAATTATTGGATGAGGAAATATATTAAGCACTCTGGGACATTAAGCAAACATACCAGTTTCCTATAACAGGGACTCCTGCTTTTGCGCTACATGATAAAGCAACACCATAAATGAAGAGGAAATTTCACCAGGAAAGGGGGATGACATTTCTCAAAGAGAAAGGGCACTAACAGGAGCAGTTCTGCTGCAAAGGGGGTGGGTTGTCTGTGAGTCGCATGCTCCTTCCAGAAGTGCCCCTGGAAGGGTCAGATTCTAAGCTCTCTGACATCTTTTCACAGATTATATCCACAAGTCGCTCAAACACCTGTCTTACGTTGATGTTTTCTTTGGCGCTGGCTTCAAAATAATCAAAACCTGTGAGAAAAAGAGCAAAAAAGTCAATAAAACCTGGTCATATGAAGATAATTTTTAAAATATCATTCTAAAATTGTTTCTGCTGACCTGCAGGCAAAATGCTTTGCTTCTTTGGGTCTATTTATTTGTTTATCCATCCTTTCTTTGCTTAGAGGGGGAAGCTCTGCAAAGACAACTACTTCTGAATCACAAACATTTGCCTCCTACAGAGCGATTTCAGCACCCAGTGTCCTGGATCCTGTTTAAAGAGTCTGGACACCCAAGCACTGGCCCTTTTGAGCAGAAAGCAGCTAGGCTGGAGTCACGTCGAGGTATGGATGACATACATCCCGCTGCCTCCCGCTGACACCTAGCCTCCCGCTCAGCCAGGAGCCCTGCAGCCAGCAGCAGCTGGACAGGGAAGCGTTACCTGTGCTACTTTGGCTCACGCTGTCCTTTATTTTTCTGTCCCCAAGGGCTTCGAAGATCAACCATCATTTACAATCACTGTTACTTCTGTTCTGTCAGCTACTTTATTGCCAACAGCAAGAACTCAAGTGCCATACGGAGAGTTTATTCTGAAATAAGCTACGTTCTGCTGTGATTTATGTTGGGGAGCGCGCTCTGCACCACATCAGTTTTATTTGATTTCGACATAAACCGGAAAAAAGAGAAGTATTCTTAACTGACTAGTCTATCATTGTTGTTAGATATAATCATAGCCATGTGTGAGATCATAAATAGGCATCTATCCTATTCTATCACTTTTAAAAATCATCAGATAACAGATAAAATGGTAACACAAATGTTTGCCTCATTGCTAGATAAACACTGCTGTCATGTAACAGAGAAGGGGACTATGATAATTTCTCTAAAACTGTTAAGAGCCTCTGCCCTTACTAAATAAATATTTACAGCATGCCCACTGCAAGGGCCACCACTTAACTGAGGTCAGTTTTCACAGGACTTACTTCTAGCTGTGAATCCTTATCAGAGCTGGAGACAATATGGCTAAAATTTAATACAGATGCCCTGGTTTCATATTAAAATCTATCAGATGCTTTAATACATAGCAGAAGAGTGATGAACAACTGAAAAATTGGTATGAGTATCCTACATGTTGTTGTTCACTCTAAAACCTTCACTGCAAACCCAATTTCCTCTCAATTAAAATGTTTGCTCCTTCTTCCAGCCTAGTATATTCTAGTCTAGTATATTTTTAATATATATTTTACTGGGTTCTGCAGATCCATTTAGAAGCTTTCTTTTCCACAACCGAGTTGCATTTTTTCCTTCTTCTATGAAAGCAACTTTTGCATTCTATAAATGACACTTAAAGACTTGGAGACAGGACTGTTCACAAAAACTTCTACTCTTTTCCTTCAGTTGAGCTAATAAAAGCTGTTCTCTCCAAACAAACTGTGTCTTTCTTACATCCTTAGACATTAGCATTCCAGCTACAGCAATGCTACAAGATGGTGATATTCAGCAATAAGCAATGTACAAAATCTAGCTGGAAAACATTAACCTTCTAATTAATACACAGTAGTGATGCCGTTATTATGCTACTAATGCTGGAGGGAGTGCCTTATAAAGGAGAGAAAAGTAAAGAGAAAAAGAAAAAAGCTTTTACATGTACCTAGCTGATCAGCTAGGTGTTTCCCTTTCTCCAGAGGAACAATTCTTTCATCCTCCATGTCACATTTGTTCCCAACCAGGATCACTTGTGCATTATCCCAAGAGTAAGTCTTGATTTGTGTGGCCCTGTAGCAGGACAGGAGAGATAGTTATTTTCCATCAACAGTGTCAAAGGGCAGTTATGTATCAAGTATGAAAACAAACACCAATAAACACAACATCTGCATCTAAAGACTACGTGTAGATTAAAAGACAAATGGCAAACCTTAATGCAAGAATGCATTGGTGTTATTTATAAGTACATTTTTTCATTACTCTTTAACTCTGTGCAATAATAAAGTTTCTTTTTATCAGCTCTCAAATGTTTTAAAGATCTTAGGAACTAGATAAAAAGCTGAACTAAATTCTTATTAAGGTCTAGGGAGGAAAAAAAACGCCATTCTTCTAAAGCTCTTTCTCCTATAACTGTAATCTCCTGGAGGTCATACAATCAATTATAGCTCTTCAGGGTACAATCTTTACAGAGAAAGCCATACAATACAAAAGAAAGCCTTTGTACTAGTTTTGCAATTTTGTGTAAAGCACATAAAATCACTGATTCAGAGTGAGCAAAAAGATGGTCATTTGCCACAACAAATAGCTGTATTTTGGGAGTCAAACATAGATGGAAACATCAAATCATCTTTGCATATGCATGAAATATGCCATAGAGTGTGAAAATTGCCTAGACAGAAAACATTGCTAGAAAGAAACAGATTTTACCAACTTGGGAAGTAACAGGCTCAAGGCTAGGTTTTGTGAGCTAGTAGACACAGCTAGATGAAGTGATAACTAAGGCAGAATGTGTAAGATGCAGGAAGAGATAGCAAGTACCTGACAAATGCCAACACTGCTGTCAGAGGCATCACGTACAGCGGGACTGAGCAGGCCCTCTGCTGCCATCCGTGCCTCACGCTGGCACTGGGGCAGAGCTGGCTGTGGAGTCCAGCACATGTCACCTTATATTTGGCACTTGGCCTTTCTGTAGATCTTCTATGATAGAACTGAGTTTTGCTTTGTTTCTATTTGTATTTAGCTTTATGCAGCAGAACAGCATTAATTCTCCGGCAGTCATTTCCATGCCTTTTTTTTTCAGGCTGCCACAACCTACTTTATCTTCACTTCTCTCCCTCCTTCCCAAAGTCACTCAGGCTGTTCTGCCAGAAGCAACTACCAGGCCCTTCTGCATCCCTCCTCCTCACACTGCTCTTTGTCCCTACATCTCCACTTCCATGCAGGATATCCTAGTTTCATGGAAACCTAAGATTTCCCTGAAGAGCCTGGTTTCCCCTCAGATTTTTACATCTGTTCAGTTTGCTTGAACTCCCCTAACAACAAGGCACTTAACTCCTTCACTTTTAAATTAGCAGCAGACCACAGCTCAGATTCACTAATGACATTTTTTAATTAGTTGTGAGTTGCTTACTCACCTTTGCCATACAAAGCTGCTGGTCACATTACTCCACGGTATCTGTGAAACAGGGGGTCATTTCAGTCTGCAAACTGCCCTGAGAAGCACGTGTAGTTTGCAATGGAGAACACAACTCTGAACCAAACCTACTGCACAAGCTCTGCCTTAGACTGCAAAATGCAAACATAAAAAAAGGATTCTGTGCAGTGAGACTTAAACTTCCTAGACCAATCTCACCTTCCCACTCCTCCTCTCTAGGCAATGGAAGGAAAGTTGGTCTCCCTAGGTTCAGTTCAAAGCACCTCCAGTCAAGGTTCCTGTTTTGCTCCTTCCTCTCTTTAGGTAACAGCTTTTCAGCACTGATGGGGTAACATGAGGATTTACTGCCAAATCTTAGCTACCTACACAGAATGACTTGGAGAAAGCACCAAGCATCTCCCTGAAAATCCTGACCTTCTCTTCAGTGATTTCATACAAGCTGGTGAAAACCTTCCCTCTCAGAATGTGCCATTTACCCTTGCAATTTGAAAATAAAGTCCTAAATACCTAAATATCTAAATACCTAAAATCTAATCCTCATCCAAAAAGAATGACAATAAATCTCCTGGAGCTCCAGGGAAGACAAATGGAAGAAAAAAAAAGAAACAATAGCCGCGGCTTCTCTAACTGAGATGTTTCAGTAGCTGTGAGAGCAGTATAATATGCACTCCGGAAAAAAAAAAAAATCTGTGTTTCCATGACATGACAACAATGCTATCCTCTACTTGTGAACTCCACAAATTTATGATGAAGCACTTTATTTCTCCTTCATGATTGGGAAAGGCTGTACCTCACGGTCATAGATTATCTGAGGAGCTTGTCTAAACTCTTGATTCACAGGTACAGGAAAAAGTGCCTTCAATTGGTTTAGTTTAAATGTTTTCCGAGTGATGCAGAGCAAACTGGAATGCCTCTTCCAGGATGTCTGACAGAAAGCTCCCCCAAGGAAGGACCCATATGGAAGATAAATGTATGTTTAGATAAAATATGATAAAATCATATTCATCCATTAACTTGCCCCCAGGTTAGCTTAAAAATACTCTTAGTTAAATCAGCTTAAGATTGTGCATAAAGAAAATCTAAGGGAAGTTAGAAAGGACCTATTAAAATATCTGCTCCCTCTACCTGAGAGCTTAGCATTCCAATTTCCATATAAATACAGTTTCAACATATTAATTCCGAACTTTTTTACATGTCTATCTCATACCCAGACCATTAAACACGGACGGAAGTGGGCACTGCAATTAAAAATATCATTTTTTATATGTTTGTCCTGAAAATATTAGAATGTAAATATCCTTAAAAAGCAAATTCTTTTTCCTTCAAAAGCTTAAATGTTTTATCTTCATTATTTCCAAATCTATTCATCGGTTTCCACAGAAAGAAATTAACTTGAATCAGGTGAAATAGTGTCACTTAATTTAAAATATTTAACATTTGTTCATTTTTGTTTACATACATATGTTTTTATTTTTAAGCACATTCTGCTGGCTTCCCTGCGTAGGTCACTATACTGATTCCATTAGCCAACCTGTTGCACTGTGCTGCATTTATGATAAACATTTAGCTTAACAGTATTCTTCACTTAACCATGTCAGGACACTGAAAAACACCTCACTAGCCAGCTGGACTAACACAACACTCAAGGGAAGGGCTGCATCTGAACTGCTGCTGCTCCGTCCTGTCTCAAGCAGCGAACAGAAGCTCTACAGAAGTGTGAGGCCTCCCTGCTTATCATAAAAACACACCAGCGTCCTCTCACACTTGAAGAGAGGACCAGGCTAACAGACATGAAGGCTCTGAGCTGAAGGAGCTTTTGCTCGACTCACGTAGCAGACACTTATTTTCCAAGGTGGATACAAAAGTCATATGAACTTGCTATTCTTGCAAATGCCAGGGCTCACACAGCTGCATCCACAAGAGACAAAAGCTTTTGTTCACTTTTCTTGTCCCTTCAGAAATCTGGAGTAGGGAAAAAGCATCTCTTGGGTCATCGCCACTAGAGGACTCTGCTGACACGGCTATGTTGGGCCACACTCACCATCTCCCCTCCTGTAGACAAGCTTCAGAAAGGTAGGAAATGGGCTATCACAGGCCCATTACATCCACCCACTGCATTACTTAGGCTCAGAAACTTAAATTTGACAGCTGAGAAGATTCCTGACATATTGAGTAAAAAGCAGCAGTGATGGGTCACCTCTGTCCTTTTGCTGCCAAGTTCCTCTAAGCAGAGATGTTCATGTAGCCCCGTGGCAAAGGAAGACATGAAGCTAAGCACACAAAGCTGACCTTTCCTTACTCCTACACCCTTGTACCGTTGCCTTTGGCAGAACAGAAGTTAGACCATTTCTGATGCAAAGTTCCAGGTTAAATGTCACTTGCACGAACTTGAAAAATGAGTAGCTCATAGACTGAAATTCAGTATATTTAACTGAAATGTTGCATCTGTGTAAAAAGACTGACATTTATCTGAGCTATGCTTCTCTAAAAGATCTGGAAAAACATCCCATTAATCTTTTATGCCTGTATACACCTCAAAATAATCAATGTACCACATATTATCTTCATGCTATTAGATTTCAGAAAATGTGGCAAAGCATTTAGAGTAAAAACAGTTTGAAAGTTAGACGCACAGAACATAAACCTACGTTAAATTTGGATTTGATAAAATTCCAAGCCAAAATTCCTGTACAAGGTGACTGATTATTAGAGATCATGGGCACCAAAGCCAACAGACCAGAGTTGTCTCTGGCCTCTTGTGCATTCATTTACGAAGATGGGTAAAGTCAGATGCTTTTAAGAGCAGTACTCACAAAAGACACAGTATTTAGGAGGAAAAAAAATTCAAAAGGAGCTTTACTCTGATACAGACAGCACATTAATGATCTGCATTTGTTAAACTCACCTGCAAAACTTTTATAATTAAACTAGAATCCTCCTCCTCCCCAAAATTTCCACGAGCCACCTCCCTCCAAAGCCCTTCATGGTTCCTTGTTTTGGTAACGCTCCAACCCATGTGCTTGCTGTGTGACTGGCCAACAGACACACAGTGACTGGCCAGCTGGACACTATCTACCATAAGAGGTAATAGCTGAATTTTCTTTACTGTTAGGAGGGAGCAGACTTTTAGGACACTTCCTCTCCCCAGTCACAAGTTCTCACAAAGTATGGCTGAAGCTATCTTTGAGACTTTCAGCCTTTTACTGAAGTTTGTTAGGTTGGCAAACCAAAGTCATCAGAGAAACCAACAAACAGTGTGAACTTTGATATCTGGCATCCTCATAAAATCAGACTAAAAATATTCAAAGTTTAATGAAAGATATTCTCCTGGCTCCACTCCTAGGGGAAAAATCCCTTCATAGGCACATACAATTCAAAGAACAGTGACTGCATTTGAACTTGGAGGAGATGGTGTCAACTGAAGTGCCATGTTGTTGTGTTTTTTGAATTATAACCTACAGCAGGATACATGGAAAAGGTATTCAATATAAAAATCAGACTGAGCTTGATTCTGTGAGCCAGTGCCACGACTAGCTTGCTTTCCAGGAGAGGCTCCTTCTGATCTCAGTTACATAAAAGAATTTTAAAAGTCACCTACATGCTGCTGTCACACGCTCCAGGCAGGTCACTGAGCTCACTGCAAATCAATCTATGAGATTTAGGAGGCTCCATTAACTGCTGCATTGCCTTTCCTGCGCGCCGATCAAACCTATCTGCAGTATAAAGCAACAGGGTAACGTTTGAGGAGCAGTCATGGAGATGCTTCTTTGGAAAATAAACACCTTTCCCCTGCCTCCCCACGCACTATTCCCTACATGAAGTCTCCTAAGTCTCCCCTAGCAAGGGGATAGCCATTACAAGGCCCACCATTCCAATGCCAAAGGGTGTTCCAGACCTCGACAGAAAAGTCAGAGACAAATGGTTCAGTATCTTTGGCAGTTCTTTGGCTCTTGTTATAAAGGAAGTGGCACTTTCTGGCCCAGAGAGAGATTCTATTCAGAGCTGGAATGATAAGAAGTTAGGAGTCCAAGAGTCACTTTGAGAGGATGCCACAGCAGGATCACGTCCAGCCTTCTCCCTACCAGCACTGCTACCTTGTGCCCCAGACACCACAACAAGTCCCTGCTGATAGAACACCTCACGACCACTGCCCACACAGTGCAAGGCTACAGGGATGCTGCATGCTTTGGTCCTCCAGAAAGACCTCTAATCTTTCTGCTCTGTACATACACATTTCCAGAAGGCATGAAGAGTAGGGAAATGATCTTGTCCCAGTTCTGCTTTCAAAATCAGATCAGAGTATGGGGTAAGATGGGATGTTTCTTCTGGAGTGGGCATGGGCTTCAAGGGCAGCCTCCAGGAAAGGAAGAGAAAGAACACACCAAAACACAGGGGAAAAAATGCCTTGTTACAACTTTTATACAGCTATTGAGTTGTTAAAATGACCAGTCTCACTGTTTTCCCACTCTACATCAAAATATTTCCTGGCTTTTTGTTGTCAGGAAGTCCAGAGGTCATTTTCTGGTTTCTGGGTACTGAACTTAGTGGAGTCAAAAGAGCTTAGAAGAGCTGAGAATCTCTCTGTTCACACACAATAGCTCTCTTCTTATCCCCGTCCTGTCATTTAACATTTAGCATTTAATTGCTTAGGCTCTCTCTATAGCCAGTGATAACAGAGAGTCCCCCACTCCAAGGGGCATGCTTGCTTTCTGTCCTAGAACCTTCTCTTCCTTCACTTATTATAACTAAAACTATTTTAAACAACACAACTTGTAAGTGGCAAAGTTTAGGTTTTATAATTGGCAGAAGGTAGGTGAGATGAATACTGTTCCATGTGTCTATACTTTTAAGTGCCAAAAATCAATTTTGAATACAGGACAAGGCACTTAGGAAAGATTTATCCCTATTAGATTTTAAATGAGGCTTGACTTGAAAAAAAAAAATTGTTAACCTGGATTGCTTTAGCAGCATAGGCAGAAGCCTCAGTAAGCCCAAATCAAGCATTAGATGTATAACAAGTGTGGCCCTTTAAAAGTAACAACTACTATGTTATGCTTTTACACTAGAATTATATTTTTTTCCTTAAAAAAACAAAAACAACAACAAAAAAAAATTGGCAGTAAAATTGCATCTTTTTCTAAGAAAGACTTAAAGAAGGCAAAATATTTATTCCAGAGTTAAGGTGAAGAAGAATATGGTGATGCACAGTAGTGTAAAGGTGGTGTAAAGGTAGAATGTGAAACATTCTCAACAAGCAACTGCGAAGAAAAAACTGACCAAAAAACCAAGCAAATCTAAGAAGAGCAGCAAGTTATTTCCTACCAGTCCTGCACTGCGTTGAACGAGTCTTCGCTGGTGATGTCGTACATGAGGATGAAGCCCATGGCTCCGCGGTAATATGCTGTAGTGATGGTCCTGTACCGCTCCTGTCCAGCTGTGTCCTGGAAGAAACAGGAATATTTAGGCTCTGAGACCTCAGTTCTCAGAAGGAGGAGCTGTAGTTAGGTCCTACATCTGAAATTAGGCAAACACCTTTTTATCATTATATATTTTAAATTATTCATTCACTCCTGCCAAAATGAGCCCTACTTGTATCTTAGCATTAATTGGGCTTTTGCACCAACTATGATATGTTAAATGTGCTTTGACATATGCACAATTAAAAACTTAATCAAAGATGTCAACCCTTTATTCATTCTTTTCTGCTTCAGCCTCAATGCAATAATCCAGTGTTAGTAAAGTTCACTGAAAGCCAACCCTTCCAAGCAGAGGCAATGGAAAGCAGTCCAGGACCATGCCAGACCAAAGACATTAGTGCGTTGTAGTTGAGTGCCAGGGACAGGGAACTGATCCTTGACAGGGATGCTGTGGGTGACTCGAATCTTACCCAAAGCTAGAGACAAGAGTTTGCAACTTGATCTGATGAAAATCATCACAGAATATGAATTTAAACGTGGATCAACAGCCTTTACCTAATCTGTTCCTTCTAGAACTACCCTGTGAACCAGAGACAGAAGTCATATGCTTAAAATATCTCTCATTTGGAAGATTTCTATTATTTCAACAAATAGCACAAGGTATTCATCGCTACAGATGAACACTTCTGAGATGAGCACTGGTTAGACCTTCAAAATCCACATTTTAAAAGTATTTACTGCTGCTGATCTAAAATTGGTTTAACAAAGTTTTTTTACTCTACAAAGAAACTAAGTCCTCTAAAAGTACTCGTCACTCACATAGCTTCAGTAAAAGAATATTTAGGGCACCTTTCAGAGCTGTAGGGTCAGGTTCTGATTTGACACAGATTTCCACAGTGCAATCTTTACAATTCTTTCTTTAGCTCCCACAGCTACAGCCTTGGTTTTGCTACATGCAAAAGCCTTCCTTGTGCCCATGCAGGGCACACGTAAAATGGCCCAAGGAAGGGGAAACATTAATGATCTCCGGTTGTTCTGAACCAACATATCACAGAGTGGCTCCGAGGGAGGGAAGTGTTTGTAAAGAAGCTCCCTGCAGCTTCCTTATAGCACTCCGCCTATTTCAGTGCTTTGAAAATATCCATAGCTGTAATACTGGGCAAATATCCCACTGGAGACATTACGCAAGGGGAATTTTTCTGTTTCTCTTAGATGAAATCTGGAAAGAGAAGGGATTTGCCCACAAAATTTAGGTATTTGTTGCAAGACAGGCTGAGAAATACTGCTGAGTGACAAACCCACCCAAGGCCTGTCCCTTATGCAGACACACAGCCCCACTTAGCCCCTAAACAACTAAACCAACTGTGTCACCAAAGTCTGACTGCACAACTTAAAGCAGGGCAGGTGTCAACAACAACATTATCCTTTGTTTGTTCAAAGAGACATGACAGTTGCTTTATTAAAGCCTGATATCCTGAGGAAACAAGGCTTGTCATTTGTCCCCACACATGCACATGGACTTGTGTCCACTACAGTTTTTGAATCTATTAAAAACTTTCTGCCAAGTTCTAAGGGGAAACATTCTCAAAGACACCAAGGAACCCAGAGGCTTTCTTCATGCCTCATTAGCAGAAAAACCTAAATCAATATTTACGTCTGCCACCAAAAAGGCACAAATGCAAAGAGAGTCAGAGTTTTTAAATTCTCATCTCACACCTGCATTCCCATGCTCTTGCTACACACAAAGTAATCTGAAAAGAAAACTGCATTCAGCAAAAGCTCAGGGCAAGGCTTTAGCTTTGAGCATGCGTATCTGCCTGTCCCGGAAAGCCTGAACAGATCTGCAGCCCTGAGTGGCTCTCAGGACAGCTGCCAAAGGCCGTGTTGGTGCCGTGTCAGCATCCAGGCTCAGTCTGGATTCAGTCTGCAGTGCTCCTCTGGGTCAAAGGAAACTTTGGTAATTCATATTTCCTGAAGATCATGAAATTCATTAATTCCAGTTTGTAATTTCTTATGCTTGCTTGTGAACCTCACACAAATTGGGGGTACAAGGTGAGGAGGGAAGCAAAAGAAAGGCACTCCCTATTTCATGCTATGTGATGTTTCTTCATAACCTTGCACTTGTAAGAGCGCAGCCCAGTGCAGATTCATCTCCCTGCAAGACAGTGACAGATTCCTAGCATTGTTTTACTGCCCAGGTACACAGCATGTCCTCTCTTCTCAAAGGTTTTTAATCACATTTCTCCAAATCTATTTGAATCTTTGTAATAATCACTTTGAAATGATTTTTCCCCTCAGGTTATATCAGCTTCTTAGACAGTTATAACATGGCTCAATTTTCCTCTGACTCATACCAAGTTTTATGCTAGCTTCTACAGAAATCCACCTCCCACACCCTCCACAAAGCTTTCCCCCCCGCCCCCCCCAACACAAACGAGAGAAAATAAACTGCCAGATCTTCAGCATTTACAATAACTGTCCTTACATCAATTTAAAATACCAGGAACCTTCAGGTAACCAGGCATTTCAGTTTGATGGGAAGGACAGGTAGCTAATGAAGGAGATAATTAATGCAGATTTGTGTCCCCTTCCCCTCAAGTTGTTTGCAAGATTTCCAGGTAGAACACAAAACTCATTAAAAGACAAGAGAAGCAATAGATGAGGTACAGGAGAAGCAATAGATGAGGTACAGGCAAGGATCAGCACAACCCACTATAGCTCTAATTAACAGTCTAGCCAAATGTCTAGGAGGAACAGGCTGAGCCTGCGGCATCCAGATGTCTGCCTGGCCATCCCTGATGAGGAATTAGCCGGCTTGGTTAAGGGGCCATGGGAAGCATCTTTACACTACTATGCTAACAAGCCTGTCTTTATACATGTGCCTGTCCTCAACAGATACACACACACACAAAAAATAAAAAGATGGTTGGTTGAAACAAAATTTGGACAATTTAGCATTCAGCAGTTGTTACAAGGAAGGAGTAAAGACCTACATGCTTTAGCAAAATGTGCAGGTGTCCTCTGCTCACAGCATCTATCACCTAAGCACTGAGCACTAAGCACTGAGCTTTGTCTTAGTGCTTGTTTGCTGGTCTCAACAAAACAAGGAAAGCACTTGCATAGGAAACCTACCAGAGTTTTTAAATCAGCTGGATACCTTTTGCTGTAGGTCTGAAAATCTGAATTTCTACCCATGTTTTTCTAGAAAACATTTCCAATTTTTTTGTTTAAAATAAAGTATCACCAAAACTTCCCATCTGTAACAGGCTTAATTCCCTCCCTTCTCCAGTGTATATGGCAAGCCTGAGAAATAAACTTTTTATTTATTTTTAAATATTCTTTTTAAAAAAAGGAAGTATAAGACATAAAGGAGTCATCTTCTGCCCCACTGGTGGACAATAATTACAAAATATATATGCATCAATCCACTTCTGCTGTGTACTTAGTCTGTGCAAGGAAGATGGTAAGAGCCTCAGAAGAGAAGCTACGTCAGCCCCAATGCCCAGTCACAAGCAGTTTCAGGGCTTCACCAGCTGCTCTGAAGAGACCTTTTCCCCTTTCTTGCTGTTCAGCATCACTTTGTGACATCTGAGCTAGAACTTTTTGCACCTTGTTCCAAATTTGGTCACCCTTGCCAACAGGAGAATTGACTTCATGGCCCACCACTTATAAGGACATCAAGTTGTCAGATATCAAAGTGTCAGGAAACATCCAATTCTGCAACCAGAGCTCAGTTCTCAGCAAGATGGGCCACCTTGTCCTTTTTCTCTGCAAAGGTAGATAACTTGAATGTACAAGAAATAAAGGTACACCCTTTATTAAGTAGAAGGCTGTCTTGCTTTAGGCCTCTTTGCAGTGCTGGAGAAGTAACTAACATTTTCTTACCCTTCTGGACTGCTGTAATCTAAAGTGTTAAATTTCTCATGCCCTCTTGCAATTCTATGTTTTCTTAACATTTTTTGAAAGTCAATATTATTGATGTCTGCTGCCACACGGTCAATGTCTTCCAGCCCAACTACCAGCACTTCAGCAGCTGCACTTCAGACTGTGGCTGGGGTCTTTCTTAGCTTTATAAACATAAAGCTAGGCCAAGTGCACAGCACAGAGAGGCCCTGCAATTTGATCAGAGCTCCTGGATATGGCATGACCACACATGCATGTTTCCTTTGCAAAAGTAGACTTGTGAGTGGAAGCCCCCAGGAATCAGCTAAACAAAAGCCACTTTCACAGAGAAGGAAGGAAAAAAAGCATCGCGAACCACACAGGTCAGTGAAGAGAGTGACCTCAGGCAGACTGGGGTGTGACATTAATAAGAAAACACTAACTTTGAGCTTACTGTTCCTGCTGGCAGCTAGAAATAGAAACAAAGAGACCAGCAAGATGAGACACTGCTTAAGACATAGAAAAGATGGGTTGTCATGAAAAGCCTGCGAAGTTCCAGTTGCGGTCAGAAGCAGAATAACACCCGGTTCCTTCAGAGCTCAGCTCTGACTAAAAAGCTCCAGTTCATTTTATTCCTCTCTCCTGTTGCTGAGTACTCCCATTGCCCAAGAGTCACTAGGATGTACTCAGACGCATTTAAACACCTCGAGTGTCAGGTTCATTTGAACAACACTAGCAATATGCAGCAAAACACTTCTATTAGGAAAAAAAAAAAAAGGCTCTATCCTTCCTAAGTGTTTTTAACCATACCCACTTTTGCTGTCTTCGCTTCAGCTCATCTAGCAGTAACAAACCAGAATCCATTGTATAAATTCAGTACCATTAGTTGCAAATCCTTCACTTTTCCCATCCTATTTTGGTTACTCTGTACAGAAGCAGCTATGACCCTGCTGTTTCTACTGTTCCCACACTAACGGCTACCAACAGAGATGGAAACTTCATGATAAAAGACTTTTAATATATGAATATCCTGTCAGAGCTCACCAATATCTGTCCAGTCATCAAAAGCCTCTGTTTTTTTTCCTTTATAATCAAGGACTGAGTGTCCTTTCATGTGAGGTGCTGCACTTACTGTTTTTCTT